GGGGCGTTACTCGACTTTTATAACTTCTGCGTTATCAGATACGCCCGGTCCTGTCAGGAAGTATTGACTTGTAAATTATTTATAGTTGGGCTGGTTTTAAGCCTCTTTTGCTAGGCCTTGCTTCGACTTCTGTCCTAAGCCTGATTAGTTTTAACATTAATTTTCTCCTGTTAGTCTCCATTCCTTCTATCTGTACAGTTGATATACTTTATTAGATTCTTACGCGGTACAGATTGATGTTAGTTGAGGCTTTCTATGTTCAGTACATAAGAAGTTATATACAGTCAAGGGGTGGAACATGTGGTAGTAGCTATCTAGACTATTTACAACAATTCCATGGTCTTAAATCATCACATATATATTTAAATATATACACTAATAGACAAAACTTGAGGAAGTAGAAGGTCTTTTTTTTATCACCGGTCATCTGTTTTTATTTATTTATTTATTTATATATATTTTTGAAGGAGACAGAGACAATTTTGTTCGCATTTGGTTATCTCGTGTATCTTCAATAAAGGTGACTGTGTATCAAGTATCATCGGAGTTATTGTCTGAATCCCGATATACATGCTAAAAGGTAAAACTTCCTTAAGTTTGTCATCTAGTGACCATCTACGCACACTAGCGGGCTCGGGTTGAAGAGAAAGCTACACATCAGCTTTAGCAACCTAAGAAAGCCTGTGGTTTCGGGCATGGTTTCTTTTATTGATCAATATCCTCCCGGTAAAACTTCCATTTATATTCCGGCCATGGAAATGGCCTATGTCGGCTAAACACCTCTTTGGAAGATTTAGAAGATTCGATGGATCTCTCTTGGCTCCCATGAAATCAAAGTATCTCTGAACTGACGAAGGCCATTATCCCGAAACCATGGTCTCCGAAAGACCAAGTCTTTCGGGTTTGTCAAAGCTGTGACTTTGTCACCAATCCAAGTCCGCTAGTTTACGCAGACGGTCAATAGATGGCGTTTAGTTTCAGGATCTATTTTACCAGGAGAGATGACCTTTCTTTTATAGAGAGAGAGAGAACATTTATTTTTCAAATTTATCCCAATGTATATATCAATATTCTGAAAGACTTGCTCGAAAATTTACTATATTTTGATTCAATAAAAAGTTGTGAACGTAATCTACCTCTCAGTTTACTCCCTATCTCAACCAGCAGACATGAAATAGGAGATTTCACATTGAGTTCACAAACCGCTACCTCAATATTTCACAAGTCAGATCTCTCACAAGTATTTAACTTCTTTGTTTCAAGAGAAACTGTCAATTAATTCTGTGAGGAAGAATAAACAGTTGCCAACCAAGGTGTGGATACAAAAGAGAAGAAAGGACAATGCCTCAGAACAAAGAGCCGCTGCTTGCTAATTCAGCCAGCAGGCCTGACAAACTCTTTCGAGATTAGGATCGTTTTTCTTCTTTAGTCTTTTTCCCTCGGGGGGGGAATAGCTTTTTATTTTCGAGCAAAGTTGGTATTGGCTGCTGCTGTTGGTTTTCTTCCTCCAGGCCCCATTCTCTCTATGTAGCAGACACACAATAGGTGTGGGCTGACGTCTTAATTAAACATCCCTTACTTTGGCAAGACAGTTTGTATCGAAGGTACATTTATAGGAGTAAATAGAGTGATATGTGATCGCATTTATGGATCGACAAAATGGACGCTCTTAAAGAGAGACAATGACAATTAACAACTTTATTGGCTCCTAGTCAATAGCAAAATAATAAATTTACAGAAAAATACAGTACACCTATTCCCCGATTTACACGGTAATTGTTTTACACGTTTTCTCTTTTACACGGTTTTCCAAATAAGTTTTTTTTTTGTTGTTGTTTTTATCGCACTATACTAAATGCTACTGTGATTGAACACATGCGCTGTGTACACATCTCACGAGGAATCCCGAGCTTATGTGTTGACTACATATTTTAACCTGTCAATGCATTTTATTTTTATTTCTGTGTACACCTATCCCCCGATTTACACGTTTTTCTCAGGAACGTATCTACCGTGTAAATCGGGGGATAGGTGTATTGTAATAAGAATAGAAAATATTTACACCAGGCTTCTCTGAAGGGATGTCGGGATCAGGAGCTACAAGCCGCCCTGAGTGTGGACCTTGCTTATTGTGCAGTTTTTTGTCACCAACATGTTCAATGACAATGTTGAGGAATTAGCACAGAATTTTCTTGTGTTCAGGCGAGAGTATCTCGAGGACTTCCTTCCTCTCAGGGCGGTATAGAACCGCGCACATGATGTCGTCCCTATATATTCTATATACAGTTACGAGCGTCATGCGTTATTGATAATTTTTCATCTCTGTCACCGTTTGCTTTTTTTTGGAATGGCGCTCTCCTATTGGTTGGCTACGATCACGCCACCTTTGCCCCCCCATCCCCCCACTCGCTTTTTCGTTTTTGTAACTATTGTGTTGGAGCGGGTCGCTCCTTAAATAAATGCATATATTAGTTAATAACTAAATGGAATCCTCTCTTTCTCTTTCCCAGTAAGAGACGCCTACGGAAGCCAACAGTACATACACAGATAAAGCACATAGGCTATAGTTATTAACTAACATATGCATTTATTTAAGGCGCCAATTTATAATTGTAACAAATAGTATTTGAATCAAAACATTCAATCGGGTAAAACACGGGCGTTGCCCGGGTCATTCGGCTAGTTTCCTCATATAAGGGGCCTAAGAATGATTTATCGTAAAGAGAATGATTCATAAAGAGAGAGAGAGTTACGGTCAGAAAAGTTTTTTTTTTTCAATTATATCTATCCTATTGGAGCAATTTATTTTATATCAAGATACTTATGATTCTCCTGTTGAAGGTCATGTTAGCCTGAAAGTTAGAGAAATGAAAATAATAAAAGAAATTTAATCCTGGATTTTTTGTTGATTTTATTGATAAAAATCAGCATATAAAGTAGCTAGAGCCCGCTACACATGAGAAGGATAAATTACATAAGGAATAATTAATCCAGTGAAGATAGATTAATCGGTTCTCACGCCACTAAAATAACAGAATATGTAAATAGAGCGGTAGATCCCTTTAGCACAGTGATTCTCAACCTTTTTTTTTGTTGCGGCATTATTTTAAAGATTTGAAAATTTGGCGGCACAATTTTAGAATTTCGCGGCACACTTTTGCTAACTTGAATGCAAGAAAATTCAAATTATGTATCAATATTTCTATGCAAAATATAAGTAATATACATCTCTAACATTCAATTTGCTAATTTCGTTATTTTAAAAAGTAAAAAAAAAGAAAAAGAAAAAAAGAAAAACCAATACAAACGTGAACATAATCATATGACTAAAATTCGGCGGCACATTTTTAGAATTTCGCGGCACACAAAATTACCGCGGCACATTGGTTGAGAATCACTGCTTTAGCACATATACAGTAGAACCTCCCTGTAGAGTAACCTAATTGCAGAGCCAAAGTGTCCTTTAGGGAGAGGTGTCCTCTTACCGGAGAGTTGTTAAATAGTAAAAATGGTAATTTTACCTATGAAAACTGTCCTTTATAAAGAGGTGTCCTTTAGTGCGAGTGTTCAAATGACTAATGTCAATATGATATTCGTGAATAATCCCCTGTGATATAAAAGTACTTCTAAAATGTACAAAAATGGAATGACAAAAAAAAAAATCCTAAAATAGTATCCACGATCTAGTAATATATTATTTCGTTGCTCACTGCAGCAACGTTGGTTGAATAACGAGCGTAACCCTGATTGGCTAATTAAGGTCACGTAATAGTAGAGAGCCAATCAGCGGGAGGATAAAATGAACCCTATATAAACACTAAGCAGTTTTACAAAATTACAAATTAAAATTCTTATGCCCTATATTTATATAGATTCCTCTTTTTAAAAATATAAATAATCTCTCTCCATTACCTTCTTTATAAGTTTTAGTTAGCTGTAGAAAGGCTTGCTCGAAAGCTTCTCTTTAAACAAGCAAAAAAAAGAGTTGCGGCATCTTATGTTTTATTTTTCTAATTTGTCGAAATCTGCAATCCTGGGATAATGAAGACTAAGCAGTATACAGTTAAACCTGTCTATAGCGCCCCCTCTAAATAGCACCTCCCACTCTATAGCGCCCGATTTTATATACGTAGTACGATGCAATTTACATTAAAAGTGACCTGTCTATAGCACCCCCTCTCTATAGCACCATATTTTGGTGAGTCTCAAGAGGGGGCGCTATAGAGAGGTTTAACTGTATTATAGAGGATATTTACGTATCAACCAAATAAACTTTTTCCTTCTAAATATCATCGAGTATGTTGCTAAAGTTTCTGATGGTTTGAGAGATTTGAATATCTGACGGCCAACAAGGAAGCCCGCGATGGATGGAGAAGGTATCTAGATCTACAAAGGATGGCATTGAGGAAATGTCGTGAAAATTCTCAGAGAGAGTTGGCACTTCACCAAACCAGACGACGTATGGCATTTTTAATGACCGGAAACAACGTCATTCTAGAGGGAAGTTCAAAATTATTTCTTTCATTTGGGACTTGAGATGTATGAAATTTTTGCCTGATGAGCAATCATTGTTTTAATGAAGGAAATATGAACCCGCTAGATGCCTTCCTTTCTCTGCCGACGTCCCGACCACCCACAGGAATGCTCATAATATGATTTCCTACCTTAAACATCCTCAGCAACCACACTCCTATCAGTTAAGCGACTCTTTCTTAAAAATAATCTAAATGTCTTAGTCCCGAGGTATAATTGTACTTTAACACGTCCACCTGTCATTCTGTTTAGCTGACAATAATGATGATGAATTATCGATAATAAAAATAAATTTCAAGATGAAACTTCGTTTGTAAAACGACATTTGAAAATTATCCCGCATGTGTTTCTTTTGAACAAAAAATCGAAATTTATTTTTAAGGAGAAATAACGATTATTTCTAACCTTAGGAATGAAGTATGAAAAGATGAATTGTGAAGAGTATATGATAAACGGAAAAATAAAAGTGTCCAGGAAGGGGAATCGAACCCACAGTGTTCCGCTTACCGGGCAGATGCCATGTCCACTAGGCAACTTCGCGCGCGTTTGCTCTCATTCTCAATCTGTTCGTAGAACGGGCGTTCCCGTATCTAGCTATTTGTATACAAGTGAAATTCTGTCTGATAGGATGTTTAATGTGAGGTGATCCGTGTGTAGATAACAATGATTATTCGAATAAGCAAAAATTAAGTCAAAGAAGTTTCTTCATTTTGAGGTATTGCAAACTGTCGAACAAAACCTGCTCTTCAACGAGCAAATCCAAAAACAAATGAAGAGATTAGAGTCTTATCCACACGCCTGATATTATCTTTCTTCATTTGTTTTAGGATTTTCCCGTTCAAGAGCAGGTTTTTGTTTTGCAGCTTACAACATCTCAAAATAAATAAACTCTTTGCTTTAATTGTTGTTTATTCGAATATTTCTGGGCAGCTATCGCTCGCATAAAACAATTAAAATAATGATGAGTCAATATACAAATATAACCTTGTATAACTTGTATAACCCAAAATATATTGAAATTTAATTTTGAAAAATAAACATATTCTATATACACTCGGGTAAAAATACACTCGGGGAAAACCCGGACATAGTAGCCTGGGGGTATAACACGCTGTAAAACTGAAAGTTTGTAGCCATAAATCTCCTGAAACGGCGACCAGGGTGATATTTACACAGGCCATTGTAGGTGAAACTTCAACTGTTTTATTTCTACTTTCACAATTTTGAACTGTGCGAATTTATATTGTTTTTATAATAATTACAATAAATACAATATTATTGAAAATTTCGATATAATTTTATGAAATGATTAAAAACCTTTCATAATAAGTTTGTTTATTATAAAACTGGGCGATCTCTTTAAATCTCTCTCTCTCTTTAACAGGAGAAATCAGAAACAATTTTTCCTTTTGAAGAGCGAGAGCTCGAAAGAAAGCTCACGGTTTTATAATAAACAAGAATGTATACAAGCAATATATTATACTAATGATAATTTTAATAATGTAAATACATGTTTTCCTCTTTTCGCTCTCCACTTCTTCCATCCATATTTCCAAAACTTTTTTTTTCCAAATCCATATTCTTATTTTCCATAGGATCATTCAAATAATAATCTGTATATATTTATCATGTGTATATAATCTTTCTCCATTTTTACCCCTTTGTATATTTCCCACTTTCATAGGTTTATCCGTCTTGTAACCCCAAGGAGAATCCTCTGTAAGACCTGTGTGTCTTAATAAAGGTTTGTGTGTGTGTGTGTTGTGTGTGATAATTTCAATAGTTAGGTGAAACAATACGTAGGTTGGTTAAGCTCACATTCCCACAAATATCGGGGAAGGCTTATATAGGCATTCCTCTAATATTATATTACCACGTGGAAAATTAGGGAAGACAAACTGAAGATCGCCGAGAAGATCTAGAGGCCATGGATACTGTTTAGCTGTGCATAGTAGAAAAATATAAACATAAAAAATGATGCTCTGTTAATAAAATAATAAATATTGTCGCGTATATGAGCCTGAAAGACACCTACAACCTCCGCCAATAGATGGCGCTTTCGCCTATTTCCGTTCTGTGTAGGAATCGCCGACTGCTGTGGTCCTGTTTCCTGGGGCAAATGATTGTAAATATCCGTTGATATTGGACCTGGGATGTAAAATAGTGTAAATACCCGTTGATTAATATTCGAGTTATTATGTAATGTGGTTTAAAGATGACAATAAAGGGAGGAGGAGTGTTATCGGACTTGTTGCTGTTGTGGCTCTCACACTCCAACATCACAGCGGCTACTCTTCTGGTAAGTCTCTCGTATCCCCCCACCAGTGGTAAGGTCGAGAGTTACTGCCAGAGGAAGGGAGTTCCACTTGAGTGGGTGGTTCTCGGAAGGTCTTTGGGTGGGCTGCAGGGTCCAGCTGCAGAGGTATAGCAACGGGAGCCCGGGTAGGTGATCCACGACGGAGTAAGCGGCGTCGTCGCTAAGAACCAAGAGGGGTCAAGCGCGACAATACCTTGTACAATATAAATTGAAATTTGATTAATTTTTATTTGAAAACCACTATTCAGTACTTTACTTAAGATGTTCTCTTATTAGAAATTTTATTAAGGAGGTTTCATATTTCAACATTTTTGAATTCCACAAAAGGGCTTTCGTATCTTCTTTATGAGGGCCACACCATTAATAAATTCCGTCATTCAGTCTAGTCTTGGATTAATGGGATGGAATTTAGAAATCTCTCATAAATCATTTCATGATAGGAATATGATTTTCTATATCGCTAACTGGTATCAAATGTGTTTTTTGAAATAGGTGTGAAGAAATTTTCTATATTCGCCTAACAATATTTTGAGAAAAGGATAGCAATTTAACCGAGGAAGGTTTCGAGAAAGGAAGTTACTATAATAATCAGGTTGTGACTTGCATATTTTAAAATT